AAAAAAAAAAAAAAAGGCTCAGGGGCACCTGGGTGGCTAAGTTGGTTAAGTGTACAACTTCAGCTCAGGTCATGATCTCATGGTTTGTGAGTTCGAGCCCCGCATAATGCTCTCTACTGACAGTGCAGCGCCTGCTTGGGATTCTCTGTCGCTCTCTTTCTGCCCCTCCCCAGCTTGTGCTCTCTCTCTCTCTCTCTCTCAAAAATAAATAAACATTAAAAAATAAATAAAAATTAAAAAGGCTCAGAATAGATGAAATACATTAAATCACCAGTGGGATGTTATAAACTATGTCCGTAATAGCACTGAGGGTATTCTGCCCTCCTACCCCTCTTCCTTAGTGTTGTGTGTATGTATAAGAATGGAGATCTTTTATCAAACTCTTTTGGATTGTAAGGTAAGTAAATGGCTGGATTAGAATATAGAGGGAATTGTAGAAAGATGAAAAGGATCAAGTTAGGGATAGGTAGACTTAGGAACTTCATGGTTTTCTCCCCAGAATTCCCTTCCTCCCCCCTTTTTTTTTTTTTTTTTTTTTTTAATTTTCCGTTTAAGCAAAACTTGGGAAAGAACAACTTGTAATTTAAGGAAGAGGAATCCAGAGGTAATCTGTAATCTTTAGCAGGTTGGCATTTGAAGAAGTCATAGTTATGGGATAGAAAAAAGAGAAACAAATACCTGACTTCTTCATATCTTGATGAGGTTTACAGGTTTTGAACTAGGCTTATAGTCACAACTTTTTTCTTAAAGTTATCTTTAAAATATTTCATTTTACATTGTTTAGTTGTACAACAAAGAGTATAAATCTAAATTCGTTTTCTTTACAGATCAGTGCTAACATCTTCCGTACTCTTCCTCCAAGTGATAATCCAGATTTTGATCCAGAAGAGGATGAACCCACGCTTGAGGCCTCTTGGCCTCACATACAAGTATGAAACATAATTATATATTGACAGTTTTTACATTTATGATATTCTGCTGAAATCATGGTTGTTCTCTTTTAGATCTGAGTGTCTATGGAAAACATTTGACTTTTAGTATGTTTGCTCATCATTTTCTTTTCCCCAAAATATTGTATTTCACTTTTTTTGAGGTAAAATACACTTAACATTTATCATTTAAACCATTTTAAAGTGTACTACTCGTGGCATTAACTACATTCATAATGCTGTGCAGCCATTACCACTGTCTAGTTCTAGAACTTTTTTATCACCCCAAATGGAAGCCCCATTCACATTAGCAGTCACTTCCCATTCCCGTATTCTCACAGTTCCTGACAACTCCTAATCTACCTTCTGTCTTTATGGCATTACCTGTTCTGAATATTTAATATAAATGAAATCGTATCATATATGGCCTTCTGTGTCTGGATTCTTTTATTTAACATAGTATTTTTAAAGTTCATCGGTGTTGTTGCCTATGTCCATACCTCATTCTTTTTAATGACTGAATGATATTTCCTTTTCTGGATATACCATATTTTGTTTATCCATTAATCAATCGATGGGTGTTTTGGCTTATTGTAATGAGAACTGTTATGAACATTCACGTACAAGTTTTTGTTTTAACATGTTTCCCATAAATTTTGATAAGTTGTGTTTTTGTTTTCATTCACCTCAAAATAAATTCTAATTTTCCTGTGATTTCTTCTGTATTACTAAGGAATGTGTTTACTTGTTACATATTTGTGATTGCCACATTTCTTTCTGTTACTGATTTCTAATTATTTCATGGTAGTTGGAGAATATACTTTGAATGTTTTTAATGCTTTTAAGTTTATTGAAGCTTGTATTAGAGCCTCACATACAGTATATTCTGGAGAATGTTTCATGTGTGCTTGAGAAGAATGTATTCTGTTGTTGGGTAGAGCATACTGTAGAAATCTGTTAGGTCTAATTGGTTTATAATGTGATTCAAGTCCTCTTTTTCTTTTTTAATCTTTTATTCTACTCATTATTGAAAGTAAGATACAAAGTTTCTAACTTATTGTTGAATTTTATATTTCTCTCTTTAGTTCTGTCAGGTTTTGCTTCATGTATTTCAGGGCCCTATTATTAGCTGCTTATGTTTATAATTGTTATATCTTTTGTATGTATTGTTCTTATTATAACTCTAGATGGTTTCTTAAATTTATTTTGTCTGTTATTAGTGTAGGCACTCCAGCTCTCTTTTGGTTACTGTTTGCATGATATATCTTCTCCAGTCCTTTTCCTTTTAATCAGTTCCTTTGAATATACATTTTGTCTTGATAAAGTTGGATCATGTTTTTGTAATCAGTTTTGACAGTCTTTGCCTTTTGACTGGAGTGTTTAATCCATTTACAGTTAATATAATTGCAGATAAGGTAGGATTTACATCTGCCATTTTGCTATTTCTATATGTTGTATGCCTTTTTGTTTCTCTACTCTCCATTACTGCCTTTTATATTAAATAGGTATTTGCTAGGGTACCATTTTAATTCCCTTGTTTTTTTAACTGTATTTTTTATTTTCTTAGTAGTTACCCTGAGGATTACAATTAGCATCTTAAAACAGTCTGTTTTGGTTGAATACCACTAATTTCAGTAGTATATAAAATTTTGGTCCAATATACCTCCATTCCCTCCCCCACCTCCTTTGTGGTATTATTTGTGGTATTGTCATACAAGTTAGATCTTTACACATGCCCACCAATACAATTTTGTAATTATTGCTTTATGTGATTGTCTTGTAGAGCAGTAGAATAAATGAGTTATAAATAAAATTCATTTATGCTTTTATGTTATGTATAGTTGACCCTTGAACATCATGAGTTTAAACTGCATGAGTCTGCTTATGTGCAGATTTTTTTGATACCGTACAGTACTGTAAATGTATTATCTCTTCTTTACAATATTAAAAAAAAAAATTTAATTCCAGTATACTTAACCTACAGTGTTATATTAGTTTTTGGTATACAGTATAGTGATTCAACAATTCTGTGCCTTACACAGTGCTCACTGTGATAAGTTTACTCTTAATCCCCTTCACCTGTTTCACCCATCCACCCCATCCACCTCCCCTCTGGCAACCATCAGCTTGTTCTCAATAGTTAAGATCTGTCTTTTGGTTTGTCTCTTATTTTCTTTGTTCTGTTGTTTTGTTTCTTAAATTTCACATGTGAATGAAATTTTATGGTATTTGTCTTTCTCTAATTACTTCATTTAGCATTATACTCTCTAGATCCATTCATGTTGTTGCAAATGGCAAGATTTCATTCTTTTTTATATATTTTGTATATTCCATCGTGTATATATACCACATCTTCTTCATCCATATTCTGTATTCATTTATCAGTGGACACTTGGGCTGCTTCCATAATTTGGCTATTCTAAATAATGCTGCGATAAACATAGGAGTGCCTATATCTTTTCAAATTAGTGTCTTCCTATTCTTTGGGTAAAAATACCCAGTAGTACAATTACCAGATTGTAGGGTAGTTCTATTTTTATTTTTTTGAGGAACTTCCATACTGTTTTCCATAGTGACTGCACCAGTTTGCACTCTCCCTTATGATATTCTTAACATTTTTTCTCCAGCTTACATAAGTTTTAAGAATATGGTATATAATATTTATAACATACAAAATACATGTTAATCAGTTCTGTTACCACTAAGGCTTGCTGTCAGCAGTAGGCTATTAGTAGCTAAATTTAGGGGGAGTCCAGAGTTACATGTGGATTTTTGACTGAGTCGGGGTGGGGAGGGTCAGTGCCCTTAACCCCTGCATTACTCAGGGTTCACCTGTACTTACCTTTACCTGTGCTCTTTATTTCTTCTTGTGGGTATCCTTTCATTTCTTCCTGAGGGGTTCCCTTTAGTATTTCTTGTAGAGCGGGTCTGTTAGTGAATTCTCTCAGTGTTTGTTTATCTGGGAATGTTTTAATTTCCCCTTCATTTTTGAAGGAGAGTTTTGCTGGATATAGAATTCTTGGCTTAACTACCCTTTTCCTTCAACACTTAGATGATGTCATCCCACGGGTCTTCTGGTGTCCCTTGTTTTCTGATGACAAGTCAGTTGTTATTTAGGACTTCATATGTGTGATGTTTTTTTCTTGATGCTTTGAATATTTTCTGTTTTTAATTTCTGTCACTTTTGATTATGATTTGTGTAGATGTGGATCTCTTTGGCTCTATTCTACTTGGAGTTCATTGAGCTCCAGTAAGAGTTTTTGTGTAATTAATATTTTTCATCAAGTTTGAGTTGGTTTTAGCTATTACCTCTTCAGATATTTTTTCTTCCTCTTTCTCCTCTCTGAGACTCCCAATATGTGTGTGTATGTTGGTATGACTGAAGGTGTCCCTCAGATCTCTGAAGCTCTGTTCCTTTTTTGTTCATTCTTTTTTTCTTTCTGCCCCTCAAACTGAATAATCTCTACTGATCTACCTTCACATTCACTTATTCTTATGCAGCTCAAATTGTTTTGGGTTGTTTTTATGGGTCAGCAAGTTCACCAAGTTCACTTTGACATTTCAGAAGTCTCTCTCTGGAGCATGTCTTTCTAGTTGAGACTGAGAAAGGGATAGTCTTCTTGACCTAAATGCCATTGTGTGACAGTTCACTCCTCAGAGTCATTGGAAAATTGGTAGTAAAAACTTCTTATGTAGGCAGGATCAGTTCTTCCATTAAACCTTCCCTGTTTCTGTCTAGCTCTAACTACTTCATTTAAACATCCCCCCCCTCAAATATGTGGCTTTAATATAATGTCATCTAGAGTTCACTCAGTAAAATCACATTGACACTACCTCAGTTGATACTTTAGTACTAGAACTCTTTAGAATAGGATTCAGGGTAGATTATCTTACAATACTTACAAACTGTTAACAAAGATTCCATTATAGCCATAAACTATACTCATATGTGTTTAGTGTTTCTTTTGCACATGTTTTTATATATCTAGTCTTTATGATCATTTATTTTTGTTCCCCCAAATGTCTCATTAAAATATTCTGAGAATATTCAGATGCACTTTCTTACTTTTTAAAATAAGCAAGGCTCTGAGGGAGAAAGTAAAAGTTCAAAGGATTCTTGCCTAATACCTCAGATAATGTTTATATTTTAAAAATAATATTAATGACCTGAAATCTGCAGGCAAACACAGTGATGGGTTTTTCTAGAGAATTTAATGTATGTGTCTACATATGATCAATGGTACTCATTTATAAGACTGTTGATCATGATTAGCTAATTAGAGCAATACAAATGACCACTGAGCACTTACCATGTTTCAGAGATAGTGGCAACTGCTTTATATACCCATCTTATCTAATCCTTTTGGTAACACCATAATATTGTTCATTTTATAGATAAGCTTAGATGAAGCTAGAAGAGATTAAGAATCCTGCCCAAGTTTATAAAAATAGTAAGTGGCAGAATTAGGTTTATAACTCAAGTATTACTCCAAAGTACTTGCTCTTAATTTTTAAAAGCTTTACTGCCTCTCCTAAATATAGTCTATGGCCCTAAAATAAATACATACCAACTTTTAAAGAGGTTTAATTCATACCTTTTTAGCTTCATTATAACACCAGTAAAACAGATCTTCCAAATAATTCAACTGGCCATTCTTTTTCTTTTTTAGCCCTCATAAGTGAGTTTTTAAAAGTGTAATTATACAGGTACAGATATGCCTTGGTTAAAGGTAACAAAAGTTTATATATACAAATTCTAACAAGTAAGAGAATTACTATCATTACAAAGCATGGTAAATCGAAATGATTCTGGTGACAGACCTCTACTTAAATCATAGTTTTGATACTTTTCTACCTATATGACCTTAGTTAGGCTGCTTAACTCTTTTGCCTCCTCCTTTATGAAACTGGGATAAATAAGGATTCTTTAAGGATTGAATGGGATAATGTTTGCACAGAACCTAGCACAGTTTTTTAAACTGTATGTTTTTCTTTTCTCT